GGCTTCCACGGTCTTCCCGCCACAGGATGCATGCCCACATGACCCTTACTGAACTTCACACCGTCACACAGTCAGCCTCCGGACCTCGCGCTACCACCTCCCAGTGCAACTTAGCAAAACGCAACTGAGCGAACACAGCACTCGATGCCGCGCGTTCCATACGTACCCGAAGACACTCCGGGACCCATCGCGGACGAGATCCGTGTTAGGCGGGGTGGAAGGGGTCTTTCTCCTTTGGATACCATGCTTCTTAATGCGCCACCTATCGCGGAGGGATGGTCGAAGCTGCTTGGGGCGATTCGGACAAAGAGTACGCTGGAGGACGACCTCAGGGAGATCATAGTAAGTGGGGAATACCGGTCCTCCGCCAGCGCAGCCGACTTACTCACAAGCGCGGGCATATGTAGATCCTGCGAGTCGCCGCTCGGAACAAGGCGTCGTTCGAATGGGTCCAGCACGAGCCGGTTGCTCGGGCGGCTGGCCTCACCACTGAACAGCTCGCTCGTGTCGGTGCTGTCACTGCGAGTATCAGCGGGGAGGGGGAGGGCCAGCTATCTTCCATCCAAGCTGCAGCGCTGCAATTGGCGGATAGCATGACGGTCAACGTGCATTTTCAGGATGCCGAGTTCGATGCCCTTCGGCTCGCGTTCGTCGCGCAGGGAGACGAGGAGGCGGTCGTGAGCCGCAAGATGGTTGAGGCGGTGGCAACCTGCGCGGCGTACAACATGGTCAGCCGTTTCCTCGTTGCGCTTGATGTGGACGACCGGGCCGATGTGCCCTGCCCTGTACCGCCGCTGTAAGTGGCTGGAGTTTGGGAGTGTCGACGATGTTCTATCCCTGTGGTGAACGTACGTGGATGCTATTTCTGACGTCGACTGTGCACAGGCTCATGACAGCGGTTAAGTGTAGTGCTTGTAGAGTGCCAACTCACCGGGCCCCGGCGCATCGTTGCCGACGGAGTAATGACGAGTCTCATGCAGGACATTGGTGGAGGTGGGGTAGGTGCAATAAATCGACCGCAGCCGTCTATGCAATTTCCAGAGTGAATGGTACGCGGCTGGGAGTGCAAGGTGTTTGAGATGTAACCTGAATGGTGCAAAACAGGAGGATCGCCGATTATCTGAAGCGTTGATAGCAAAAGGTCTTCGATGTGGAGGTTGCTTAAATCATCTCAAGCCTATGATCCACTCCATGCATAAGAGATCACCTGAACGAGGTGGAAGCATTCTCATGATAGGGTTCACCGTCGTGGTGAAGCCTCTTGCGCGCTCGCTCACCACACGGTGTGCGAGAGAACCTTATCGGTCAGACCATCGCTCATCCAGCTCCTACACTAGCCGCCAGAACTCGAGGCTCCAACAAATTCAGACGAACACCATACAATGTCTCGAGTCCCACCCGTACCATTAGAAACACCGGGACTCATCGCCGAAGATATCCGTGCACTACTATGGGGCAGTCACAAGGGCCTAGAGCCCCTCATCACCACCCTTCTCCATGCACCTCCCGTCGCAGAAGGGTGGTCGAAGCTAATGGGTGCGATCCAGATGGGCAGTACCCTGGACGATGACTTACGGGAGATCATGGCACGTAGGTCCGCAGTATTTATCACCCACGCCCCTCCGCTGACTACGCAACGGTGTTTGCCTAGATCCTTCGTATCGCCGCTCTCAACAAAGCTTCCTTCGAGTGGGTCCAGCACGAGACACTCGCCAGAGCAGCAGGCCTGTCGACAGAGCAGCTCGCTCGTATTGGCGATGTCAAAGCGTCTCAGTCTGCATCCTCACCGGCGGGCCCCGGTCGGCTATCTGCCATCCAAGCCATGGCCCTGCTTCTGGCGGACAGTATGACCGTCAATGTGCAGGTGGAGGACGCCATGATTGATGGGCTCCGCCTGGCTTTCCTCAATCAGGGAGACGACGAAGCGGCTGCAAATCGCAAGGTAGTGGAGGCGATAGCGACCTGTGCGGCGTACAACATGGTCAGCCGCTTCCTCGTCGCGCTGGATATCGACGGCCGGGCCAAGGTGCCATGTCCCGTTCCTGGAGAAGAGGCACACGTTATCGGTGACTCGTAGGAAGCTGGTGCTGGGAGCGGAGGGTACGCGTATGTCTATAATCCGGCGAATCTCCTCATTCTGAATGGAACGGCTATTCATACGGGTACAGGTGAGAGACCAGGGGGGTCTACGAGGATCGAAATCCTGTATGATTAATAGGAGTAGAGGCACGTGCTACGACGCTTTGGATATGAGTGTTCCCGCTTGCAAGAATGCGTCGGTTACGACGCGGCATGGCTCGTCAGCTGTAGAAGTAACTCGACACAGAGATCAATCCGTCCGCTGAGTCTTTGCCCGTCGTCCAAGAGCGTGAAATAATGTGGTAGCGAAAGAAGGCCCAGTTTGACAGGAGGAAGAGGAAGCGTGGTCAAACCGAGTCTGGGATGCCGAAAGAGCCCCATCGTCGCCCGAGGTGGCGAGATGCAATTCTTCGTAAGGAATGTACTTAGGTATGGAGAGACGACTCGGAGGAAGCGATGGTCAAGAAGGGGTATTATGTGGACTTCTTGCTCACCGCCGCGGCACTGCCGGTGGTCATAGGCTGTTCAAGATGTGCGCACCAATCACTGGGATTTCAAATGACCCGCTTCGTAGTAGTCATCGATCACCTCCCAGTTTTTGGTTGAATTAAGGACTGCGGATAGGTGCGCAACGACATTTCAAACAAGCTTAATGTTTATGCCGGTACAACACCAGTGTAGCTGCGCAGATCTTCAAACCACCGGTGGCCTTGGTCAGCATCACAACGGGCGTACCCTCAGAACCCAAGCGTTCAATAAGGTGGCTGTGGCAGGCAGTGTTAGTTCGGCCACCTGCGGATCAGCAGCGACTGCGGGAAACTGCGCATGTGGTCTAGGACAAATTGACGAATCACAAGTTCACGTAATGGGGCTATCTCGACGCCCTGCACTGTGAGCCGGGGTGCACTAGTAGACATGAACGACCTCACTTTGACTCGGATGTCTCGCGGGAGGAGACAAGTATGTAGATTGAGTCTACGAAGGTTAGCCAGCGCTGCTCATCTTTGACTGCAATCTTGATGATGAGAACCAACCCACCATGGTGAGCAGACGTTAAGGTTTATTGACAATCTTACAACGATCGCGATTGCAAGCGAGCATATAGGGCATGATTCTTGGCTCGTCTCAAGTAGGCACAATTATCTGGGTAGTGAGACACTTCCGTCTGAACTGGGCTCATTCCTGACCAGCATAACACTGGTTCTCCAATAATCTTCGCTTTTTTATACTATGCAGAATAAACAGACTCAAAGACAGGAGACCGCACATCACTTGGGCCTACCTCCCAACACCTCGAATCTTTGCAATACGTTATGGGGGCATGGCGGCCGCGGCGGTATGATGCCGCGAAACCATGCTCTTGCTGCGCAGAAGGGAGCGTAGACCGCGTGTGCCCGCCATGAACCTTCTTATTTCCATGCCGGTATGGGATGGCCGATTTGAATTGAGAACATCGACCCGCGATGACGATGGCCATCGATCAGCTCACTTCAAGCGCCCGAGGTGCCCTGCGAGGGGCGGTGCTGTAAGAACGTGGGTATTCCCAAATAGGGGAATCGTCTTTTGCGCGTCCCCGTCATGATCTACTTAGCCTCGGCAAGACTATCTTGATCTCCGCCAAGGTGAGCAATGGCTAGATGTATGTCTTGCTTCTGCTGGTCAGCTAAATAGTAACATGCCAATGGTCGTGCTGTTTCAAAGTCCTTTCGTCGGTGGCAGCATACACCGTTAGCTTGCACTCGACTCAAGAGGTCCCTCGAAGGGATGTCGGGGTTAGAGGAATAGCTCGCGCTCGGCTCAAGCCATTTTTTACTTCAGTCGCATTATCGGCCGATCGTTCACGCTCCCCATGGCATGATAACGATCGACATTGACCCACTCGCCATCTGTGTCCTACTAGCGTCAAGGAGCCCGACAGGAGGGAGATGCATCACATGGTTGACTACCGTCCGACACTGCGCGCAGCAATAGAAAATCTCACCGTGACACCGCTATGCATTGGAGCATCCCACGATTCACTTGAAACGGGTCGCCATCCGCTTACTCAATCCCTTACGTTGTCAATGTAGTGAGCCAGTATAAAATAGAACCCTCCTGTGGCTCTAAGGACAGCACCAGCTCCCACCACGACTCGCGAGTTTCCCGCCGCGTCAGGTCCACTTCACGATTCTCTTCCACCTTCTATATTCCTATTTCTTGCTTTCTTCCAAGAGACCGTGATGCGTCTTCTATGCTATGTTTTAGCTGGTGTGCTGGTCGTAGGTGGTGAGTCGAGCACTTCATATCTACTTTGTATGCTTGGCTTACGCACTGTCAGGAAACGCCGCTGCTATTGACAAGAAAGCCGAGGCTCCCACCTTCAGCGTTTCGAACGTTGAGACTCCTACTCTCAGCATCTCGGTCAGCGAAACTCCTACTCTCAGCGTCTCAATCGTGGAGGTCCCCACCGTCAGCATTTCAACTGTCGAGGTCTCTACCGTAGACGCATCAAGCAGCGCTTCGTCGTTCGAGCCTTCCAGCATCCGGTTGAGCACCGTCACGACCTCAGAATTCCCGACCAGCATTGTTTCAGCTAGTTCGCACCCCTCCTCAACAAGCATCGGGATATCGAGCACGTTCACGATCCCCACCAGCATCGGGATATCCAGCTCGTTCTCCTTCCCCACCAGCATCGCCACCAGGAGCTCGTTCTCCGTTCCGACGAGCATCGAGTCAGCTACCTTCTCCTGCGCGTACCCCACCGTTACCGTCACTGTCTACCACCCTTCCTCGCACTTCACGACCGTGACTGGTACTCACATCAGTAGCCGCTTCACGACTGTGACGGGGACATTCGTCTCTTCGGCATTCGGTTCGTCCGCTCCAGTTGTGACTGGCTCTGCCACCCTTTCCGCAGTCAGTTCAGCTGCCACATCTGCGGTCGGGTCGTCTGCTCCGTCGGCCGTTGGCTCGTCCGGCGCGACGTACCCCTCGGGCACTGAAGTCATCTCGATACTCTTCCCCTCTGGGACCGGGGAGACCTCTACCCTCATTCCTTCCGGCACTGAGGTCACCTCCGTTCTGTTCCCGACCGAGACTGTGGTGACTTCCACTTTGTTCCCTTCGGGCACCGTCGTCACGGCTAGCACACCCCCCATTGCCTCCTCTGTGTCCTTTTGAATGGGAGGCGCCGCCGCTCCCTGTATCAACCTAGTGGGCGCAGTGGCTATTCGTGCAAAGAACTAGGAGGTTACTTGAAGGACAGGACTTGCGCGGTGTTGTACACGCCCCGAACGTGTGTTTGGTGCCGTTGTCTGTTTTGTTTTCCATCCTCGCGTATTTGGACCGTTCCTTGTGATGTTCTGGTTTTAGCTCTATGGACTTCCTTATGTCTCCCGTGTTTAATGGCTTGTTAGGTACCACATGCTGGAGAGCGTTGCAACAATGGGGGCCGAATAGCACACTGTGGTCACGGTTCCCGTCTTGCATGTCATAGACCCATCGTACTCTCCGGTTTCATGCAATCCCTGCTCTGTCATCTGTTGGCAGAAGCATTGACTGCACGTTCTGTACCTCTGCTGATGTGGCTCAGATCTCAAGGTTCCGACGGCTGCCATCGGCCCAACATACTCCCACCTCTGGTCTCCTATGTATGTATCCTTGCAATTAACACCGTGCTCTCCTGTCTTTCCGCTTAGGGAGGCGCCATCGTCATGCGGCGTGAACTGCCTTCACGTATCTGCAGACCCCAGGCTCAATCTTTTCAAAGTAACCCCATCATGATCGATCCTGCAAAAAGCTATAGTGGTCTGGCGTCATTCCAGAGATACTCATGCATGCTAGGAGAATGTGAGCGCCGACCAAACAGGACGGAACGGAATCCAGTGCCGGCCCGTGCTGGTTCTCTGACGCCACCTTCGTCCAAGCCGTGCCTTGTGACACACATCCGTCTTCTATTAGCTTGAGTACTGCTATGGACTCCTAGGCTGCTCTCGATTTGGTGCTGTGCATGCTCAGACCCTCGGAATTCGCATTTGCGATAAAGTGGCTTAAGAATGAGCGCGTTGAGTACAGATCGCTTTGAAGCTCTAACTTCACTTTAGTGGACGACGCAGCTGGGCCCTCGGGCATGGGAGCCGCAAGTCGCACTTGTTATCCCAAAGCATGCCCACTCGTGACACCCCTGCTTGCCCGGGGCGAGATCCCATGGTCGGATCGGAGAGTGTGAGAGTCCGACAGCCTCTTCTCAGCCAGCGCGGTCAGTAGCTACAAAACACTTGCCTTCCAGGGCGCCCTTCCTGCCGCGCAACGTCCCTCTTAGAGGCCGGCCTCGACGCTCTCGTCCCTTGCCTCCTATCTCAAGGCAATTGGGCAGTCTAGTGCAAGCGCGCTTCACATTCCCCCTCCCACACCCTTCCAACTACCACTACTGTACGGGTCACGACAATGGCTCAAGATGGGGTGCCTGCCGGCTCGACCGACGCGGCCGACTCTACACAAGAAAAGTCGTATGGCGCAGCAGCAGGACGGTGGTCTGGCTACGTGCGCGAGCTCTTCACGAATCCGAACGGGCCCCCGCTCGGTTCGGTGGATCCAGACAAGATCGAGCAAGCCGCACGCGAGAAGCTGAAAGACAGCCCTGGTACGTCTCTCCACGTCTCGCTCGTCCATTCGACGGATGTGCGATCTGTCCCATCGCATCGCGAGTCCCGGAGATCGCGAAGCCATCCGTCGTGTTCTCCGTTCGTGACGATTGGAAGACAGGGCACACCCAAGGACGATTGAATGCAGCTCGCTGATTCTTCGTATGCTTTTCAGGCGCATGGGGCTTCCTGTTTGGAAACGCGGGCTCGGGCTCGACATTCCGCGCGAACCGCGACGCGTTCGCGCGGTGGCAGATCGTGCCGCGGATGCTGCGCGACGTGACGCAGCGCAACATCGAGGTGCGTAAACCGTCCTTCGCTAGCCGGCCGTTTAGTCTCGGCGTCCTAGGCTGCTGCGCTTGAGCGACGGCCACAAATGCAGAGCCCAATGACTCACCCCGGCGTATCAAAGAAACCTCCTACGTCGGCACATGCTCGGCGTTCGAGCCCCCATGTTTGATCGCCGGACGCGCTAGCCATCCCTTGCATGGTCGTCGACTCGCAGCGTCGAACGTTAACCTTCCTCCGCAGGTCACCCTCTTCGGCACCAAGTACTCCTCCCCGCTCATCGTCGCGCCCATCGGCTGCCAAGCCTGCTTCCACCCGGACGCCGAGCTCGCCACTGCACGCGCCGCGGGCGCCCTCGGCGTCCCGCTCGTCCTCTCCGGCGCCGCCTCGCGCTCCCTCGAGTCCGTCGCCGCAGCGAACGGCCCGCACGCCCCGCGCTGGTTCCAGCTCTACTGGCCGCGCAACGACGCCTTCACCGTCTCCCTCCTCGCCCGCGCGAAGGCGAGCGGGTACAGCGCCCTCGTCGTCACCGTGGACACGATGGCGATCGGGTGGCGGCCCGCGGACCTCGACCACACGTTCCTGCCGTTCGCGCACGGGGTCGGCATCCAGGTCGCGCTGAGCGACCCGGCGTTTATGGCCGCGCAGGGGCGCGCGCCGCACGGCGATGCGGAGGTGCCCGCGTTCCCGTACGACCCGGCGAGGGTGCGGGCGCTGTACGAGGCAGGGGACGCGCGGACGCGGGAGATGGTCGAGCTCGCGGCGACGTGGGGGCGGGAGAGCGTGAACGGGACGTTTAGGACGTGGGAGGACGTGAGGTTCTTGAGGCGGAATTGGGAGGGGCCGTTGATCGTCAAGGGGATCTTGGCTCCGCAGGTGCGTGCCAGCGCGGGGGCGAGGGGTGTAGGCTGCTGACGAAGGAGTTTGCAGGATGTGGAGATTGCGATTGACGAGGGGATAGACGGGGTCATTGTCTCCAACCATGGTGAGTATCTCATTTTGCGAACGCGGATCGGAGCTTGTGGGGGATGCACTGCGAGGGGTTATCTGCCTCCCTTATCCCTTGCAGCCCAGATGACTGCCTGCCACTTGCAGTCACTCCATCGTTGAGAGAATGGGGTCGAAGACGTTGCAGTCTCGCGCGGCACGCTCTACTCCTTTCTTTCTACGCCACCGGTATGGGCCTGTAGGCGACGTCTCTCAGTGTAACGCCATATCATGACAGCGTAGGTCTCGCAGGCTGTACGCGTGGAAGTCGCGAGAAGGTTCCTTCTCGAGGTGACTGCAAAGTACGCCTGGCTGATTCTTTGCAGGTGGACGCCAAATCGACGGATCGATATCCTCCCTCGTGGCGCTCGAGAGGATCATGAAGTCGCAGAAAGTAAGAGGGGCACAGGCGGGCGGGCAGCTCACAGTACTGTTCGACTCTGGAATCAGGACAGGCTCGGACATTTTCCGAGCTCTTGCGCTCGGCGCGCAAGGCATTTTATGTGAGGGATCCCTCTATCGAGGTTCTGCAAGAGGTGACTAACGCGTTACTGTGCAGTGGGGCGCCCGTGGGCGTACGGGCTGACGGTTGCAGGCCAGGCAGGAGTGGAGGCGGTGATCAAAAGCATCCTGGCGGACTTTGAGCTCACGTTGGGTCTTGCCGGTCACAGGACGGTTGCAGATATCCAAGGGAAGGCGGACGAGGTGCTGGTTCGCGCGGAATGAGGGGATCTGGCGGACGTGGTTGGCTGGAACGTCAGGTGTATTGGATAGAGTCGTCGGACGTATACACTGCTAGACAACAGGTGGTGGCGGGCCGGTGGCGGACGTGATTGTGGAATTCCACAGTCCAGCCAGACATTGATATTACGTGGCAACTATGCACAAGCGGGGGCAAGGGGCAGACGGTCGACGACGTGTTGAATCGTCTGAGCATTCGGTCACACAGCAGTCCAGTGTGAGAAATAAGCACATCATCAGCTTGCGAGGACAGCGTGCAGATAGCTACGGAGCATGGTTGACAGCGGTAGGTTCTATGGCTACGACGTCTACTAGCGGCTAGGTGTAGATTACGCTATGACATAGTGCACTACATGGGACTGTTAGGTTGTTTGAAGCCTGTCAGTACAGTGATACACTTGTGTGTCAGATTTCTTCAGATCTACTTTACAGATACTCAATCGGTCTGAAAGATCCATATGATCTGCCACGGTTATCAGGCCATATGTACGCAGTCCTTTGGACAGTCACGTCACGCTAAAGGTCTTACCAAATGGGGAGAGATCATCTGGAGAGAGTTCACTTCGTCCTCGTCCAGGAGATCCGGCTGACCTTCTGCTGGAATCACACATGATTTGTTGAGGAGTGGATTTCCACAAGACAACGCACTGGATGTCTACAATCCCAGGAAATCGACTGGCCTGCCACCACCATCTGTCTAGCAACGGTGTATAACACCGGGCCCGGCGCGCAGCTGACACATGGCTATTTGCATTGCAGACGCTGCTATTGCGTGAGGTCCATATTAATCTGGATGCAGCGGACAGCTCTGAGGCAGAGCCTGGCAGACAAGTTGCACGGTTTGTCAGCGCGTGAACAACGGTCATTGAGTGGTCGCAGTACTGGGAGAGCGCGAGTTGAACGAGACGCGTCTCTTGGTCATGCTAGGCGTGACTGGCCTGCCACGTGACCGCAAAAAGAGGCTTAGCTAAAGGATGCTACCGTGACCGCGACGGTATAAGTCGCTCTTCCCTTCGCCACGCTGAGGCCATCCAATCTACCCTTCCGCGCTCTCTTCAGAGCAATCCCCCTCGCTGCGTCCGCCAAGTACTCTACCTCGGCAACCTCTCCCGCAGTCAAGATGGCACCCACCAACGTCCCTCCCACCACCGTCCCCAAGAGCAACAAGCTCCACTCAAAAGTCGTACGTACACTTGTCTCTTCCAAGACGATGCCAGATGTGCTGAGATGCGCCGCGATGTAGGTGATCATCGGCTCCGGACCTGCAGGGCACACAGCAGCCATCTACCTTGCCCGCGCGAACCTCCAGCCGGTCCTCTTCGAGGGCTTCATGGCCAACGGCTTCGCGGCCGGCGGTCAGCTCACCACTACAACCGATGGTGCGTATCTCGTTCTCTTATTGCCCCTGCGGAGGATGCGATAATAGGCACACTGTATGACGCTTGGCGAGGGGTGAGCGATCCGAGAGCTCACGAGTGGGCGTGCGTCGGACGACGGTCGCAATCTGCAGGCACCCTAGGGGTATCGAGACGGCTACACACGCTATGGGACGTCGTATACTCGCCTCACGTGAGCGGCCATAGAAAGAGGGCATCCTCCTCGATCGTCGATGACTGCCGTGCGAGTAGCGGTGGGCTCTGGGCGCGAGCTGGGTTGCGTGATGTAGAGAAAGTGCTGGTATGTGCACTAAGGCACCTAGCTAAGGCGTCGAAGGTGCTTGGCAGCGGCAACGGAAAGGGAAAGGAAGCCCACTCCCACTGCGCGTAGTCCACCAGTAATCCGTGTCTTCTCATCTACTCTCCTTTTTTCTGTACTTTGTGCAAAGACTCTGTATGGGCGGTGACCAGACTACCGATCATCGTCGCCGTATCCAACTCAGCTCCCAGCCTACCCCCTCATACCTCCTCAGTCGCCCACACGACCTCATCACTGACGCTCCATCCACAGTCGAGAACTTCCCCGGCTTCCCCTCAGGCATCCTCGGGCCCGAGCTCATGGACAAGTTCCGCGCACAGTCGCTCCGCTTCGGCACGCAGATCATCACCGAGACCGTCGCGAAGGTCGACCTCTCCGCGCGCCCCTTCCGCTATTGGCGCGAGTTCCAGGAGGACCAGGAGCCCGAGACCGCGGACACGCTCATCCTCGCTACGGGCGCGAGCGCGAAGCGGCTCCACCTCAAGGGCGAGGACATCTACTGGCAGAGCGGCATCTCGGCGTGCGCGGTGTGCGACGGCGCGGTGCCGATCTTCAGGAACAAGCCGCTGGCGGTCATTGGTGGGGGCGACTCTGCGGCCGAGGAGGCGACTTGTGAGTGCCTTTTCTTTGCTGCGCTCTCTGTGACAGAATGTCGCAGCGAGGGGGACAGCCCCTTTCCGCCAGCATCCCGTCGCGTAGCTGATCTGCCATACTGACACGCCCCCCGCACCAGACCTGACGAAATACGGCTCGCACGTGTACGTCCTCGTCCGCCGCGGCGAGTTGCGCGCGTCGAAGATCATGGCAAAGCGCCTGCTCTCGCACCCGAAGATCACCATCCTGTGGAACACGGTCGCGGTCGAGTGCCAGGGCGACGGCGACCTGCTGAACAACCTGCGGATCCGCAACGTGCTGACGGGCGAGGAGAAGGACCTGGCCGTGAACGGCCTGTTCTACGCGATCGGGCACGAGCCCGCGACGCAGCTCGTGCGCGGGCAGCTGCAGACGGACCCCGACGGGTACATCGTCACCGTGCCCGGGACGACGCAGACGAGCGTCAAGGGCGTGTTCGCGGCGGGGGACGTGCAGGACAAGCGGTACCGCCAGGCGATCACGAGCGCGGGGAGCGGGTGTATGGCTGCGCTCGAGGCGGAACGGCTCATCGCGGAGGAGGAGGAGGGCATCGAGGACTGAGCGCAGACGCTGCTTGGGGTTAATATAGACAAGTGGCACTCGAGGTGCCTTGTGACATTAGATTGTATATACCGCTTCGCACATGACATCGTACACAATTATCGTTCGCGCGGACTGCATCATCTCCGACGGGCCGCGCGCCCAGCCCTCTCCGCCTCAACGCCGTAGCGCACCTTGTCCTCCCGGAAGGACGCCGCGCTCGACCCCGCCCTCGCGACCCCCGGCCTCCGCAGCGGCCCGACGCCGCGCTCCCTGAGCACCTGCATGAGCCCGAGCGCGTCCGCGCGGACGTCTTCCGCGCTCAGCCTGTACCGCCGCGGCGTGATGCCCTTCCCGAACGTGCGCGTGACGTGGTTCGCGCACAGGAGCGCGACGAGGATGTTGAGCACGTGCAGCGGGACGAGGGCGAAGAGCGCGCCGCAGAGCGTGCGCAGCCACGCGCGCTGGAAGCGCCACAGCGCGCCCTTGCAGCCGGGCAGCGGCGTGCGCGGGTAGCAGAGCGCGCTCGGGGCCGCGTCGTGCGCCGCGGTGAGGAAGCCGCAGCAGTGGAGCGCGTCCTGGATGGCGAGGCGGCCGAGGGGCGTGTAGTACTCGGACCAGGCGCGCGAGAGCTTGCGGTCGAGCGCGTAGGCGGAGCGCTTGTAGGCGGGGTAGGCGGCGAGGAGGAGCGCGAGGAAGGCGGGCCAGAGGAGGAGCGCGTAGAGCGCGAGGAGGGGGCGCGAGTTGAGGAGCGCGCCGGAGAGGCCGGTTAGGGCTGCGAGGAGGAGGACGGAGGAGGCGAGGGTGAGGAGGACGAGGAGGTCGTAGGAGGCGACGTAGGCCACGTCCGCGCCTTTCCATGCTGTCGCGCGCGAGGGGAAGAGGGTCAGCATACAGATACGGTGCGCTCGCGGGGAGGGGGGGGCGCAGAAGGGAGAGGGCGTACCTCCGAACCAGGTCAGGATCGCGCACACGAGCCCCGCGGAGCCGTACACGAGCACGGTGCACACCGACGCGACCAGACACCACTTGTGCGGCGTCCACCGCGCGGGCCTGTCTATCCCCAGCCCGCCCTCGTCCGTCCTCCCGGACGTGGACACAGAGCTCGCCCCGGGGCCGAGCCAGCTCTCGTTCGCGAGAGCGCGGGGACGGGGGAACTTGCGTGTGAACTTGTCCGAGGTACTCCACGTCGAGAGGAGAAGCGGGCGTTTGTCTTTGAGCGCTGTCGGGATCGGGACGTGCACGGTGTCCACCACCAACGAGCGAGGTTGAGGCAGGCGTTGAAGGAAGGCGACGGTGCTCCTGCGGCAGGTAGAGGTCGACTGGCGCGAGTAGGTTGAGCCCTCCGACTCCGTCCGCGCGGGGATGGGGCGCGAGCGTGTGCGGAACGGGTTGAAGGCGAGGGTGAACGGTAACGCGGGCAGGCGGGGGAAGTACGAAGTTAAGCCCCGCATGACGTTTGCCCCAGATACCATATCGGGGGCATAGTTGGGCGTAGGTAGTCTCGAAGCCTCAGACTGGGCGCTATACACCGAGTGCGCGGAGCCACCTCGGTAGGGACGTAGTGAGCGTGGGGTGAGGGGGACAGGGTCTAGCGGGCGCGGGTCGTGCTCGGGTATTGGTGGAGGGCGCGCGACCTCCCGGTGGTTCTGGGCGAAGGAATCACTCGGCTCCGCTTCCTCCTCAGCCTCGGACGGGAGCTTGGGCAGCGTCTTGAACCGCGATGGCAGACCGCGCGTTGAGATGCGCGAACGCCTCACCAGGAGGACCGTGGGTCCTGCTTGCGCGAGGTCTTCCGCATCCTCGACTGGGACAACAATCGTACGGTCTGTGCGTTCGGTGCGCCCGCTGAGCGACGTGCGTTGCTTGGCCGACACCGACGCGCTGTCTTCGAGGTTGTTCTTGTTCACAGACTCTTTGGGCTCCGGACTGCGTGCGCCTGAGCGATGGCGGATTCTAGCGCGCTGTATGCGCTCGATGGCTGAGGAGTTCGAGGGGACCCGGGGCGCCATGGTAGCAGTCTGCGGTGAGGAATTGTCTTAAGGACGTCAGCCACAGCATTGGGTGAGCCGATCGGTGGCCTGCACCACTGTCTCGTCACGAAGTGGTCCGCCTACCCCAGTCGTAAGTATAGTCAGCCGCATAATAATGACACCTACCTCCGGAATACTGTCCATGGGAACGCATAGGCACGCAGAGGAAGAAATATGTCCGAGAATACGATGGCATACGCTACTAGATGAGAAAACAATGCAGTCGAGATGAGTGCCGAAACCATTATAAGATGAGGTCGTTGGGTCTGTCTGTCTCGTGGGCAAGCAAAACGTCCGTCTCTCTGTCACGAAAGTCCAGGTAGCTGCAGTAGCAAAAGTAAACGAAAAGCACAGCAATAAAATATCCAAATGAACGAGTCGCAAACTCCGCGCTGGCAAACAGGACACGGAAGGGACCGTTCAGACGGAGTTCGTGGGGAGCTCAATAGGGCACTCCGCGTTCGTAACTTGTGTAGACGCGTGCTTTGTCCCAATGAGGCCTGCGATCTTCATGTCGAGGTTAAGACTGAATTGAACGGCTGCATAGTATGGACACGGTTCGTGAGTACTCACACAAGAGGTACTCGGGACATTAGTGAAAGTAGGTACGTACCGGGGCGCGTACCATTGATCTCCGTAGCCTTGTTCTTGCAGCCGTTGTACCAGTTATTCCCTATACGACAGCGTCACGAGATCCGCACGCAACGCCCTTACAGACAAATTGAACGCACATGTGATGTCCGAGTCATTCACGGCCGAGTACGTGAAGTTCAGGTTGAGCTGGACGATCGGGAACTTCTTCGCGGGTATGGTGAGGTGGCCGGTATCGCCCGACGCGACCTGCCGGCCCGTTGTCAGATCAAACACGGAAGCGTGGATGTTCTTGAACGTCAGCGGGAGGAAATTGCTGCCGGTGTCGGCCTGGAGCTTCATCATGCCTGGGAAGGAGAAGTTGGCGGGCGCGCGGCTGAACTCGGTGGGGACGGTGGTGTTGAAGGGGGCCGTGGCGGGCGAGAGGGGCTGCAGCTGGTTCGTGCTGAATGAGGGGACGCGGGGGATTGTGAACGCCAGGACGATAGCGATTCTGTACCATTCTCTCTCAGCCGTAGTTCGCGGAGGGCATAAAGTGGCAGAGATACGCACGCAGCGCAGAGGCCGAAGATAAACCAGGCGGTGAACCTCCTGGTGAACCACTTTCCGCAAAGGCCATCTTCATCACGTCTCCACCTCTTCCATTTCGAGGAGATGTTCTCGAGCTTTTCTTCCCGCTTGGCCTTCTTGGACATGCCGTGCAGCTCCTCCGCCTTCCACTCCGGCCCCAGCGCCGGTACCGTCACCATCTCGACACCTCCTGGCTGCTGTTCATTGAGAGATGCTGTTGATGGCTTGGCGTATCTGCCCCACGATACCTCAGGTTCCGAACTTGATCTATAGCAGACATAACTCACCCAGCCGTTTGCGGGCTATATGGTGTGGGGGAAGGCACTTGACGATAGCTTCTGCGGCATAAGCTCATCCCTTCTCCGATTCCTCACCAAGTCCAGCACACGTACCCGGTGTCACCCATCCCAAACGCTGTCGAGTACCGCGGTCCGGCATTGTTGAAGTCCGCGTACACGTCCCACGCCGTCTCCTCGCCCCCGCCTCCTTTGATCGGCTCCGTCCGCCCAGCATCGAAGTACGAGCTCTGGTTGTACCCCGCCCCGGGACCGGCAGCGTCGTACAAGTCCGCTCGCGAGTGCCTGTTGGCGCTTCCGTAGAACGACGAGGACGAGTCGGCGCGTGGACGGGCGGGGGGCGCCGCTCCTGCGGGGATGGGGAAGTCGGTGTTGAGGGCGTCGCCGCTCCGGCGGCCGCCGTAGAAGGAGGAGACGGTCGATTTGCGGTCGTAGTCCATGAGGAGTCGTTACAGTGGTTGGAAGTAAGGAAAGTGGGGGAGTGCGAGACTCCGATGGGTGCAGAGGGAGGTCGGGCGTCGTGTGGAGGGAAAGAGGGAAGGCAGTGGGAACAGCGGCGAGACGGCGAGAGCTGGCCTCGATCTCCGAGACCCATGCGAGCCCAGAGGCGCCGCCAGCGCTTACGAGTTCGGAGCTGGACAGTACTTGCCAGTCAGTGGATGCCTGCGCATTTTCTACAGTATCTTCGGTCCTGCAACTGTTCCAAGGCTACTGTTGCTTGTCCCTAAATAGAGCTGCTCAGTCCTTGAGGCCACTGCTCACCGGTCGCGTTGAGAGGCAATTGCGGACCGATTGGGCTAGCAGAGACTAGCCGCTCAACTCGTCTCCGAAAGCTCTGCAGCGATGCTAACACTGGTCCTTCCGCACAAAGTCCCTCGACATTGGTGTCAATCGACTAAGACGGCTCTCCTTCGATATAACTCAAATTCATGTTTTCCGCTATCTTGTTGAGAGCGGTAGCCCGTAAAATGGGAAGGAACGCGAAGACGTCGCTCGCTTGCCAAATGCGGGGCACTCGGCTAGTCCATCAGCGCTGCAGCCCCCATCAATTGCCTCTCAACGCGACCAGTGGCCTCAAGGATTGAGCACCCCTACTCATCTCGAGCTCGCCGCAGCACCAACCGACGACAAATGCCCTCTTCATGGAACGACCTTGCGAACTCCCTGCATCCCACCACGCCGTCTCCCGCTCTTCCATGGGAGGTCATCGAGAGGGCCATAGACTACTGCTCCGACGAAAAGACCACGCTGTGTGCGCTTGCCCTCACCTGCAGCCAGCTCCATCCCCGTAGCCGCTTCTTCCTCTTCGTCAATGTCGATCTACAGACCCAGGAACAGTTCAAGAAGTTCTACGACGCTGTCCAAGCTCAGCCACACCTCCAGACTCTTGTCCGATCTCTGTCGTTTCCGTGGGCCGGATTCTCTCCGTTTCCTCTGCTGTCCAACCTCCCCGGTCTCCGTCATGTCGCATTCAAGGGGGACACAACTGTGTTTTGGGTCAGCAGCCAGCTCCTCCCGCCCGATCTGCAACTTGTGTATAGCGTCCGAAGCCTCACTATCCGCGGTGTTAGGTTCCAAACGGAATCAGCCTTCCTTCTCTTTCTGTCAGCCTTTCCGAACATCGAAAACCTCACCTGCGAGCGTCTCATATTACTTGCCGAAAATCCTCTGGAGAAACGTGATCGGTCCCGTCGATTGCAGCTGCGAACGCTGAATGTGAGCGTTATCGTGATCATCTGTGCCCCTCGATTGTGACTCTCTGAGTTTCGTTCCAGATACTTCAACATGTGAACCCATGTGTTACAGGGCTGCTGTTTCAGTTAGCTCTACGGGCGATGAACAGTCCGCTTGCGATTGGGGAACATACTCGTCCGTATTTCATCCCGTCTCTTAGTTGTATACCTCATAATCTAAATCAGAACCGTCCTCTATGCCGCTCCCTCAATCAGGCAAGGATCGCCAGACCTCCTTAACATGGTGGAGACGAGCCAATACCAATAACGTCCAACGTGCCATACACTTCTTGCAACAGACAGCAATAAGAGATATCACTCTAGTCTTCTGGGATTACGGCGTTGGAGATTTGTACACGCAATGTCGTCGACTTGCCACCCAGGAGCTCTTTGCAGCCATGGAGAAGGTCATGCTCGGCTTTCACCGCGTACTATTGGCTGTTCCCAAAGGCATCTTGAATGCGCGCAAGACGATATCCTGGTCCGACGAGTTCAGCAGGTTGCTTCGTCCGCTACGCGCGAATTGGGCGCTCAGTGAAGACATTCAATACTGTGAGTTGTATCCACCGGCCATGGTTCTGACTCGAACATTGACTGGGGCAGCTCAGCTGGTAAGCCTGGGCATGACGCGAGCGTCACCTCACTTGTCGTCTCTTCAGATGGGCGCTGGGTAGCGACGGCCTCCGATGATTCTACGATCATCCTGTGGGGTGCTCGAGATGCATGTATCTCGCAAGAGTGGATCGCCCATGACGGACAGGTCCGGGATCTCGCGTTCTCCCCAGACAGCCGATACATCGCGTCCGCAGGTGAAGATCGGAAGGTCGCAATCTGGGACATCAGCGGCAGCGCACACCAAGTCGCCTCTCTCGAAGGTCATGCTGCTCCCTGCAGCAAGTGCGCGTGGTCCAGCGACGGCGCTTATATTGCGACCCGAGACATCGACAGCACTCTACGGCTCTGGGATGCACGAACATTCCAGTTACTACCCCTACATGGCGCCGAAAAGAAGACACACGTCGAGCCCCTATTCTCCCCTGACAGCCGCTGGCTGCTCATCCACAAGGGGAACGCCTCTGGAGTTTGGGATGTTATCGCTAGTGCATACCTCGCATTCCCCTTGCATCGGGACATCGAGGCATGTTTTCTTCGAGCCGCATTTAGCCCGGAGAGTGCACACATCGCTGTTGGATATAAGGATGGGATGCTCCACGTTTGGAACGTCGCGACTGGACGGGAGCCTCTGTTTTGGCAGGCGCACGAAAATGTGCCAATCCGCTGTGTGGTGTTTTCTCCGGACGGCCGGCTGCTGCTCTCAACGGGCGACAACGCAGTGAAGATATGGGATGCGGATACGGGTGCGACGGTGCAGTCGCTGGAAGGGCACGAGGGGCGGGTGACGGGGGCTTGCTTCTCCCCGTGCGGAAAGTACATCGCCTCTGGATCTAATGACAAGACGGTGAGGGTATGGAGAACGAGTGATGGAGCATGCTTGACGACGCTCTCCGACCATGGTCACTGGGTGTCGCATGTTGCGTTCACTCCGGATGGGACGATGTTGTGGTCCGCAGCAGGGAATGGAACGGTCTTGGGCCGTCGGCTGCAGGACGTCCTGCCAGATGAGTTCGTGGAAGATTGATAAGCCCTCTTCCGCTTTGCAACTCGTAAGTCTAAGCACGTCGGAATTATGTATACGGCCTCGATTTCGCTTGCGGTGCTTTTCATACTCTCGTTCGTTGATTCCGACGACTGTCATTCCCATAGTGCCTTGTCCTGTACTTGTATCTGCCCAATCATATGTGATCCCTCTCCGCCCACGCGACGATGGAGTCCACAAACGTACCGCTAAATCTGTCAACAACATACAAGGGGCGAGAAATCACCGCGAACATGCGCCGTAGAACGCACCGATCATCAAATTTGCACAATCACAGCACTGCCAAGGAGACACGCAGAACAACTCTCTGTTTACGACCTCGAGTTCCGGAGCAGGCCACCGGGGCGTGCCGATGACTCAGTGGATGCGGGACTCAGGCGCTTTGACGTCGCTCCTGCTACAGCTGGTTGCGAAATTTATGCCCGACCAACTCCGACGCAGTTTCGACCAGGGAAAAATCGAAAAAATCGAAAAAATCAAACAATTCATGCACTCGCGATTCTGCTCCCCTGTGTTCTATAAACTTTGCATAATCCCTATAGCAGCGAGTACGAGACCTCACGAACTTGAGTGGAGAGCGTAGGACTCCTGGTTCCCGACTTGTGCCCTTCGAGGGAAATCACTAGAAGCTCCCTATGGGCGATGAGGTTTCTCGCTCAGGCATCTGCGCACCGCCTTGCAACGTCACTTATGAAAGTATATGGCTCATTTATAGTAAGTTTTGTGGGTTTATAGGAAGATGTTACACATTCTCGGCCAGAGCAGTAGGCAGTCTGCTTCCTGGCTCTTGCCAGCGCATCAAGCACCGGAAGAGGTTCAGGCATCGGCGTATCTTCGTGACTCTTGTGCGCTTCAATGTCGTCTCCCCACTCTCATATCTGTAATAGAGTGTCTATATAGGCTCATGATACCTTTTCAGAACCAACTTCGTCAGCAGACACCTCATCAACTCTTATGCAACGCCGGTAGAGGCAGCGTTCAAGTAGCACCTAGTTCCGATTTTCTGGAGGCACCCTTTCCACACAACTGTCTTCAATAGACTGTATGGGCTATCAAAACTGTCTTTGGAATTCATTCCAGTCCAAATTTTGTCTCTTCTGCTCTTGAGAGCCTGTCCATTCGCTCCGGCCTACCTGCCCAAAGTAGCGCCCATGAGGTCCTTGTAAGGTGCCTTCTGCGAACATCGTGGATCACCTTCGTTCATCATGTTTCAGGCTCTTATAGAGCTAGAAGGGTCGAATACCTTGTAAACTAGGTGCTCGATAGTGCAGGGCGATTTATGGAATTTGTTTCATTTTACGATGCAGAAAGTGCACGAGCGTCAGTCGGAGACGGCTGGCATAAATTCCGCAACCAGCTGTAGCTGCTCTGTAGACAGGCCCGCTGCTCTACCGAGTGTCTCGCGCTGGACCCACTCAAAGGAGGCCTTGTTGAGAGCGGCGATACGAAGGATCTGGGCATACACCGCTGCGCACTCAGCGGAGCGGGCCTACTTACCATTCTCTCCCGTAACTCATCGTCCAGAGTACTGCCCATCCGAATCGCACCCATCAGCTTCGATCAGCTTCGACCACCCTTCTGCGACGGGAGGTGCATGGAGAAGGGTGGTGATGAGGGGCTCTAGGCCCTTGTGACTGCCCCATAGTAGTGCACGGATATCTTCGGCGATGAGTCCCGGTGTTTCTAATGGTACGGGTGGGACTCGAGACATTGTATGGTGTTCGTCTGAGTTTGTTGGAGCCTCGAGTTCTGGCGGCTAGTGTAGGAGCTGGATGAGCGATGGTCTGACCGATAAGGTTCTCTCGCACACCGTGTGGTGAGCGAGCGCGCAAACGGCTTCACCACGACGGTGAACCCTATCATGAGAATGCTTCTACCTCGTCCAGGTGATCTCTTAGGCATGGAGTGGATCATAGGCTTGGGATGATTTAAGCAACCTCCACATCGAAGACCTTTTGCTATCAACGCTTCAGACAATCGGCGATCCTCCTGTTTTGCACCATTCAGGTTACATCTCAAACGCCTTGCACTCCCAGCCGCGTACCATTCACTCTGGAAATTGCATAGACGGCTGCGGTCGATTTATTGCACCTACCCCACCTCCACCAACGTCCTGCATGAGACTCGTCATTACCCCGTCGGCAACGATGCGCTGGGGCCCGGTGAGTTGGCACTGTCCAAGCACTACACTTAACCGCTGTCATGAGCCTGTGCACAGTCGACGTCAGAAATAGCATCCACGTACGTTCACCACAGGGATAGAACATCGTCGACACTCCCAAACTTCCAGCCACTCACAGCGACGGCACAGGGCAGGGCACATCGGCCCGGTCGTCCACATCAAGCGCAACGAGGAAACGGCTGACCATGTTGTACGCCGCGCACGTTGCCACCGCCTCAACCATCTTGCGGCTCACGACCGCCTCCTCGTCTCCCTGCGCGACGAACGCGAGCCGAAGGGCATCGAACTCGGCATCCTGAAAATGCACGTTGACCGTCATGCTATCAGCCAATTGCAGCGCTGCAGCTTGGATGGAAGATAGCTGGCCCTCCCCCTCCCCGCTGATACTCGCAGTGACAGCACCGACACGAGCGAGCTGTTCAGTGGTCAGGCCAGCCGCCCGAGCAACCGGCTCGTGCTGGACCCATTCGAACGACGCCTTGTTCCGAGCGGCGACTCGCAGGATCTACATATGCCCGCGCTTGTGAGTAAGTCGGCTGCGCTGGAGGAGGACCGGTATTCCCCACTTACTATGATCTCCCTGAGGTCGTCCTCCAGCGTACTCTTTGTCCGAATCGCCCCAAGCAGCTTCGACCATCCCTCCGCGATAGGTGGCGCATTAAGAAGCATGGTATCCAAAGGAGAAAGACCCCTTCCACCCCGCCTAACACGGATCTCGTCCGCGATGGGTCCCGGAGTGTCTTCGGGTACGTATGGAACGCGCGGCATCG